ACTTCACAAGCTTCAAAATCTCCCCTCCCCCTACCGCATCCCAAAACCAGCCCAACTTGTCTCTGCCTCCCTAACCTGTCCTTCCTCCCACCTATTCCCTCCTCCCACCTCAAGCCCCACCCCCATCTCCTACCTACTAACCTCATCCCGCCCCCTTGACCTGTCCGTCCTCCCTGCACTGACCTATCTCCTCCCTAACTCCCCACCTACACTCACCTTTACTGGCTCCATCCCTGCCTCTTTGACCTGTCTGTCTCCTCTCCACCTATCTTCTCCCTTATCCATCTTCTATCCGCCTCCCCCTCTCTCCCTATTTATTTCAGAACCCCCTTCCCCTCCCCCATTTCTGAAGAAGGGTCTACGCCCAAAACGTCAGCCTTCCTGCTCCTCTGATGCTGCTTGGCCTGCTGTGTTCATCCAGCTCTACACCTTGTTATCTCTTGTTTTCTTGGATGATGTTTTAATGGTCATCATGACTAAGTTCCAGATGTTTGTCCTAACTAAATTTAATTTCCACCAGCTGTTGGAATTCGAATTTATGATTCCGGAGTGTTGGCTCGAGCCTCTGGCTTACTAATCCAAAGACACTACCACTATGCCATCATTTCTGCACCTCTTTAAGGTGAATCAGCATTTAGTACTGATTTGTTAAAAAAAAGTATGACTGCAACGTGTTAATTGTCAACACCTGGAGTCTGAATTATCTTGGAGAGAAGGTAATAAAAATTAGGTGTGTTGTAAGAATTATGCATTGCAATGTCATCTGAAGAAACTATTGTACAAGATGTATTAATAGAAAATGGAAGAATGCTGCAGATGGAGAATTGGTATTGCATCTCAATGAATGTATTTGGCTCATTGAGTTGTACAAAAATATATATTTTGCTATGCAAGAAACTGCTGTAGCATTTTTGTGACACATTCAACTGTAGCAATCCATATTTTCCCACAGTGTGTCTTTTCCACTATTCAATGGAAAATAGCTCCTATCAAAATAAAAACATATACACTATAAGGTACCTTTGATGATTTGAGCAGGAAAACAATAAACTATTGTGTGCGTTACAACAGAAGATCTGCATTTCACATTGTGCTATCCAAACATCCCAAAGTGACTCATAAGCAAACAAATTGAGATTTATTACTCATTTCAATTTAAAATATCTATTTACCAATTTAAAATATCAAGTCTGTGTTGTTTATATTAAATATAAACAATGTTATGTATTACAATCAATGCTGATGAGGATTGTTTCTCCTTCCAGTTTTCCAGTGTTTGACAGTCTATATTAGTAGTTGCCATTTTCCAGGTTGATTGGTCAAAGTGAGTGAATGTAATTAAGCCATTATTACCATGTTGCAGTCTTTGGAACACCATGTTAACTTGAGTTAATTTATATTTAGTTAAATGTTTAAAATAAGAAAGGGATTGGAGGTAAGGATGGGAAATAGGATTAGGATCATGCAGCAATCTGGTTTAGACGTATCTAAAATTCTGATTGTATAATGGCACAGCTATCAAACCATAAATTTTACTCATTTACAAAATATCAATACTTTGCTGTAGCCTTAATAATGATGTAGAGCTCTGGCATTGGAATGCTGAAGAGATTCACTATTCGAAATGTATTTGAATTTCCATTCACTGACCAATGTTAAGCCAAGTTCTGGAATTTATAAACTATTTAAAGGAATTCCATTCTTCAACACGAGTAACTCCACTCATTTATCATGATTGAAATAACCTTGCAGAAAGAAAATGTGGGATATTTTGGAGTTTGTAGCTGCTTTTCTGTGAAAAGCATGCAAAACGCGTTAATTTCATTTCAACAGTAAATCTGCTTCTGGAAGAGAGCGCAACTGGAAAATTACATTTGATCAATAGGTGCTATGTTTTAAATTTCTTTATCCTGACCCCCTCATTGGCATTTCTGTTGCCCAGGATCCTGGTGACTCTTTTGTGTATTGAATTTTTAACTATAGTTTAGAATCTAGTTCAGTAGAAGAATGAATTAGAAATACTTTACATAAGGAAACCATTACAACCTTTTGAGTGGTTTACAGAAAATCACAAACTAATCAGATGCAGTGGAAAGGTGTGAAAGTTAATGGTTTCCTTTAGGATCATTTGCATTTTCACAGGTGGATGTATGGGAACTGCCAGATAAGAGTTTGAGGCTATTAATGCCTCTTGAAGGTGAGAAATTGAATAGTGAGCTGTCAGATTCAGCACTTTGCTGGTTTTGTGATCCAGCATGTTCAGAAACAGAGACAACAAGGTGTAGAGTTGGATGAACACAGCAGGCCAAGCAGCATCAGAGGAGCAGGAAAGCTGACGTTTCAGGCCTAGACCCTTCTTCTTTCTGAAGGGTCTAGACCCGAAGCATCAGAGGAGCAGGAAAGCTGACGTTGCTTGGCCTGCTGTGTTCATCCAGCTCTACACCTTGTTATCTCAGATTCTGCAGCATCTGCAGTTCCTACTCTCTCATGTTCGGAAACAAGTTTGGAAACAAAGACAATGATGCTGCCAGACCTGCTGAGTTTATGTAGAGAAAAAAAAGTTAATGTTTCAAGTCTGATTACTCTAAGAGTCAGTACTATTACAATGAAATGGCAGCAAGAGGTGCAGCTGGAGAAAGAGAAGAGAATAGGGGAAGGAGTGATGAGAAAATGCATGAGCAAGGGAAGGTGAGAGTATTATCATGCATTTGTGGAGGCAAAGGAGCCAGGGAGAGGACAGCCATGCTTTGGTGGAACAGAGGGTGAACCATACATGAGAAAGTGGAGGAATGCATTATTAGGAGAGGGGCAAAAGGCAGGATATGCAGTGGAGGAGGGAGAGAATGGAGGAGAAATAGGCGGTGAAGATGTGGCTGGAGTGGAGAACAAAACATTGGACACCAGCAGAAGGTGGAATTCATTACCACAAGAACTAGTTGATGCCAAAACATTGCATGTATTCAAGAGGCAGCTAGATATAGCCCATGGGGCAAATGGGCCAAAGGTTATGGGCAGGAAGCAGGGTTAGGTATTGAGTTGGATCATCAGCCATGGTCTTGATGAATGATGGACCTGTCTCGATGGGCCGAATGGCCTCATCCTGCTCTTTTTTTCTATGTAAGTATGTATTGGTGGAATAAGTGAAGGGAAGAGGGCCGCTGGGGGTGAGTCATTGGTGGGACGGGGTCGGGGGAGGGGAGAGAAAATGAAAGATGTGCGGCGACGGGATGAAGGAGAATCATGCAGTGGGGTCAAGGGGAGGGGGAAGGGGGGACGAGTGTTTCGTCTAGGGGGAGTACGAGGGCAGGCCCGTGCCAGAGCCACCACGTGGTTCCTAGAGGGGGTCACGTGGTGAGGGGCGGCTGCGTGTTCTTTAGAGGCCTGGAGCCAGGAACAGCGCCAGTGTGTATCGCACCCGTCGGGACATGGGCAGTGCCTGCTTTTCCTCTTTTCTGAACAACCGCTCGCTCCGAACACGCTGAGGTGAAGAGGCCGGGATAGTCACAGCAGCCGGGAGGGGGGAGGAGCGGCTGAAGCTCAGTCCGTGTTTGAAGAAGGGGAAGAGTCTCACACAAAGCCCTGGGGGTGGGTGGCAAGAGGCGCTTTGTGTTCGAGTGAGACAGGGTGGCCAGGCCCCACGTTCAGGCTCAGGCCTCTGCTCGGCGCGGATCTCGTTAACCGTAGGGACAGCGGCTCCGGGGCTGCAATCACATGTCGGGCTCGGCTCTGCCGCTGCTCTCACATTGTCCCCAAGAGAAGCCGGCCCCCACCCTCCAACAACAGGAAGGTGAGGGCTTCTTTGCCGGGAGGGGGAACGATGGAGCCATGGTAATATCGCCGCCAGGGTGTAAATGCATTTCCCTCCTGTATGTTGTTATTATTTTAAAATTACTATTGAAAGGAATTGATTTTGTTCTCGTCGCTTTCAGAATGTCCTTGCCGAGCCGAGCCCGCGGCAGCCGTCTCACCCCCGGCGATGGCTGACAGCAGCGGAGAGTTGCAGGGCTCCTCTCTCGCTGATTCCATGGCCGGGCTTTGATCCGAAGAGGAGCAATCGATTGCCAACCATTTCCCCCACCACCTCCTCCACCGTACACTCACTCAGACACTCCAAGCCGCCATGGAACGCGCAGCTCCTCCAGCCATCAACCCCAGCCATACTCACCGATTGGAAGGCAACATGATGAAATCCCCTCCCTCCTGTCTCAAGTCTGGCAACGTCAAGGTCTACCTAAAGAAATGGAGCATTTGGGACAAATTTTATAATTTGGGCACTGAGATGAGGATGTCCAAACGTGGCAGGTTTATGTTCCCATACTGTGAGTATTCTGTTTCTGGGCTGGATCCCGAGAAGAACTACATCATGGCAATGGATATCTCTCCAGTGGACAACTACCGCTACCGATATAATGGGTGCAAATGGCAGATCAATGGAAAGGCAACCCCACATGTGACAGGGAGACTTTACTTCCACCCAAATGGCAGTGTTTCTGGGAAAGAGTGGATGGCCAAGCCAGTGTCTTTTGCCAAAATGCGATTAACCAACTGCCCTACTGCAGAAGAAGGTAATGCAATCCTTCATTCCATGCATCGATATGTCCCCCAGTTGCACATCATTGTGGCTGATGGAATCATTGAGAAGCTAAACCTGAATGATCCTCGGGTCTACACATTTGTATTTCAACAGACTGAGTTCTTTGCTGTGACAAAATATGAAAACAAATTTATCAGGCAGCTAAAACACTTCTATAATCCTTATGGCACTGCACTGCGAGATGTAAAGACTTCAAAACAGGTAAATATGATGTGCTGTAGGTTTTCTCAGAAGAAATTTGCAATATGTATTAATCTTAATAAGGTTGACCAACGGCCTTATGAATAGGAGCCTATTTGGTTAAGCTTGTCAAATTAAGTCGTCATGTCAACATCTACCCAACTCGCCACACGTGCACAAAGCTTTGCTATGCATCTGGCAATGTTTGCTGGATGATACAATGTGAATATGACTGGTTTGAGTGAATTCTGACTATTGGAATTGTCTTCAAATATGTAGGTACATTTAGTGGATCCATCCTATGCAATTGTTATTGGAATGTAATTCACACTGTAACTTTATCTTATTTTCTAGTAGCTTTGATGTTTGACTGTTATAAAATTATTTGAAGAACCATTCTATGTTCATGGAAAACTGGAGGAAACTTCAGTATAAATTTTCTTAATATAAAAAGTATGAAATAGGAGCAGAATTAGTCCACTCACCCCATTTGAGCCTGTTCCACCTCATGGCTGATTTAGGTTATTTTTTGCTTTGGATTCCACACTTCCATCTACCCCTGATAACCATTCATTCGTTTGCCTATTAAAAATCTAATTACAATTTCTTTCAGAAAAATTGCCCCAGTATGTGGAGGGGGCAGAGTCACAGAATTCCAAAGTTGCACAAGCCGCTGAGAAATAAGAATTCTCATCTGTATCCAAAAAAAAATGCCAACCCCCCCCCCCCCAAAAAAAAACTTACAACAGTGCTCCTTAGTTCTGGATGCATGTGCGAGAGAAAGCGTCATCTCCACGTCTACCTTATCAAGAATCTTATACATTTCAATCAAATCACTCCTCACTATGAAGGCAAGTAGAAGCAAGTCCAGTCTGTCCCCTCTTTACCCATAACGCAACCTGCGTATTCCAGGTATCAATCTAGTAAAGCTCCTCTGAACCGCCTTCAATACATTTATATCTTGCTTTAAATAAGGAGGACAAAATTGCACACACTATCTACCAGTGTCCTGTGCAACTGAAGCATAACATTTTTACTTTGTTTACCTTCTTTATTATGAAAGAATGGCATTCCATTAGTCTCCTTTAGCTGGATACTAATTTCTTGTGATTTGTACACTGCACCTTGCAATTCTGCAGCCCACTTAGGTAAAACTTTTTTAATTCTTCCTTCTAAAATGAACACTTACACATTTTTCTTCTGGTAGATTTTTGCCCACTTCAACCTTTTTTAAATCAACCTGCAACCTTGTTCCTTCTTCACAATATGTGTATTGTCTGCAAATTTAGCTATAATGCCTTTGTTTCCGTCATCTAAATCATTAATACAAATTGTGAAATACTGAGATCCCTGTGGGACTCTACTCTTCATATCCTGCCAATCGGAAAAAGACCCATTTATGAATATTCTGTTATCTACCTGCCAGCCAATCTTTGATCCACGCTAGAATGTTAACTCCTACACTATGTCCTTCTACTTTGAGCAATAACCCTTTGTGGATCTTTGTCAAATACCTTCTGAAAATCCAAGTACAGTATGTGAATGAGCTGCCTGTAACCCACAACGAATGTCACTTCTTTGATGCTTTGCTTGTCTGCAGTCAAACCTTTTAAGTCTTCTTTAAGACAAAAAACTGCAGTTGCTGGAGATCTGCAACAAAAACAGAAATTGCTGGCAAAACTTGGCCAGTCTGGCAGCATCTGCGGGAAGAAGGCAGAGTTAATGTTTTGAGTCTGAGTCTCCATCAGAACAGTTCTGATGAGTCACCAGACTCAATGTTAACACTACTTTCTTCTCGCAGGTACTGCCAGACTTGCCAAGTTTCTGTTTTTGTTTTGTTAGGTCTTCTACCCTGGTCACTCCCCTGGTACGGCCCTTGGTTTTAATGTATTAGGTCTAAGAGTCACAGACTTGGATGTTTGTGATGAGCAATGATTTAGTAACTTATCACCTGATCTACTTGGACCACATCGAGCAGCATTGAATCTTGCACCCCACTGCACAACGATTAAGTGTGCTAGGATAATCACTGAAACAACAAGGTGCAGGGCTGGATAAACACAGCAGGCCAAGCAGCATCATAGGAGCAGAGAGGCTGACGTTTCGGGCCTAGACCCTTCATCAGAAAAGGGGGAGGGGAAGGGGGTTCTGAAATAAATAGGGAGAGAGTGGGAGGCGGATAGAAGAGGGATAGAGGAGAGGATAGGTGGAGAGGAAACAAACAGGTCGAAGAGGCGGGGATGGAGCCAGTAAAGGTGAGTGTAGGTAGGGAGTTAGGAAGGGGATAGGTCAGTCCAGGGAGGACGGACAGGTCAAGGGGGCGGGATGAGGTTGGTCGGTAGGAGATGGAGGTGCAGCTTGAGGTGGGAGGAGGGGATAGGTGGGAGGAAGAACAGGTTAGGAAGGCAGGGACGAGCTGGACTGGTTTTGGGATGCGGTAGGGGGAGGGGAGATTTTGAAACTTGTGAAATCCACATTGATACCATTGGGCTGCAGGGTTCCCAAGCGGAATATGAGTTGCTGTTCCTGCAACCTTCGGGTGGCATCGTTGTGGCACTGCAGGAGGCCCAGGAAGGGGACATGTCGTCTGAGGAATGGGAGGGGGGAGTTGAAATGGTTCGCGACTGGGAGGTGCAGTTGTTTATTGCAAACCGAGCGTAGGTGTTCTGCAAAGCGGTTCCTGAGCCTCCGCTTGGTTTCCCCGATGTAGAGGAAGCCACACCGGGTACAGCAGATGCAGTATACCACATTGGCAGATGTGCAGGTGAACATCTGCTTGATGTGGAAAGTCTTCTTGGGGCCTGGGATGGGGGTGAGGGAGGAGGTATGGGGGCAGGTGTAGCACTTCCTGCGGTTGCAGGGAAAAGTGCCGGGTGTGGTGGAGCTGAAGGGGAGTGTGGAGCGGACAAGGGAGTCACGGAGAGAGTTGTCCCTCCGGAAAGCAGATAAGGGTGGGGAGGGAAAGATGTCTTTGGTGGGGTCGGATTGCAGATGGCGGAAGTGTCGGAGGATGATGCGTTGGATCTGGAGGTTGGTGGGGTGGTATGTGAGGACGAGGGGGATTCTTTTTTGGTTCTTATTGCGTGGACAGGGTGTGAGGGATGAGATGCGGGAGATGTGGGAGACACGGTTGAGGGTGTTCTCGACCACCGAGGGGGGGAAGTTACGGTCCTTGAAAAACGAGGACAACTGAGATGTACGGGAGTGGAATGCTGCAGCCCAATGGTATCAATGTAGATTTCACAAGTTTCAAAATCTCCCCTCCCCCTACCGCATCCCAAAACCAGTCCAGCTCATCCCTGCCTCCCTAACCTGTTCTTCCTCCCACCTCAAGATGCACCTCCATCTCCTACCGACCAACCTCATCCCGCCCCCTTGACCTGTCCGTCCTCCCTGGACTGACCTATCCCCTTCCTAACTCCCTACCTACACTCACCTTTACTGGCTCCATCCCCGCCTCTTCGACCTGTTTGTTTCCTCTCATCTATCCGCCTCCCACTCTCTCCCTATTTATTTCAGAAGCCCCTTCCCCTCCCCCTTTTCTGATGAAGGGTCTAGGCCCGAAACGTCAGCCTCTCTGTTCCTATGATGCTGCTTGGCCTGCTTTGTTCATCCAGCCCTGCACCTTGTTGTCTCGGATTCTCCAGCATCTGCAGTTCCTACTATCTAGGATAATCACTGGCTGCCTTTCTTGAGAAATTGTCCTCTTAAATCCTGCTCACGTGCATATTCCATCCTACCTTCCAATAATGAGTATCTCTTGAAGTGGCTTGACCTCTTGTCTCTGCACCATTGTCCCTTGGTCCCTTGTCTCCTATGTCTGAATATGAATAAGAAGGGTTTAGAGGGAAATGGGCCAAATCCTGGCAAAAAGGACTAGATTTATTTGGGGTATCTGGTTGGCATGGATGAGTTGGACCAGGTCTGTTTCTATGCTGTACAGTTCTTTGACTATGTGACATCAGATTTTAACGTGGATTGATTGAGGTGCCCTGTTGTGTTATCCTCATTTAACCACTGAGTTACATTTAAGTATTAAATTTTTCAGCATTTCCAAGCTAAGTAAGCAGACAGATTCCATGTATCTTGCCCAAGTCTCTGCCCATACATTTGGGTCAAAGATGCTCGCAAAATATCAATCAACTTATCAAAAATTTGAACTTTCTGGAAAATGTTCATACATCATTTTGTGTCAGGGCATCTGCAGAATCTTGATGCACATCTCCCAATGTACATCCCACTTCCGATTAAGCTGGAGAGCTAAGAATGGGACCCTACCCTCGTCACTAGAAGAACTGTCTGCTTCCACCTCTACCTAATTTGCTAATCAACCTGTTCAGAGGTATCATTACACAGCTCTGGAGCAGGTTGGACTTGAATCTGGGTCTTCTGGTCTAGGGATAGGGACACTACCATTGCACTACAAGAGGATCCTTACTTCCACCTCTATGATGCTTGTCTCCACCCCTACTTAAGCCCACCTGCTGCTTTAATTGCCTGTAATTCTGAGGATTCAATTGTTCTGCTAGCCAGCCTCCCATCTTCCGAAACTGATGTAGATTTTTAAGGAGTGTTTCAATGGGAGAACAACTAATCGGGTAATCTTCCAGACGTCACAACTCGGTTTGGCAGCATGTGTGTGGCAATGAACTATTCCACAAGCTATTATAATGTCTAACTATCCAATTAATGCTTAACCACACAGTTAAATGACCAAGATGATCAGTTTTCCTGACAGATTGCTGTTCAAGACAAAAGTAATTCACCATCTGGAAACTAGTCATGAACAGAAAAATAATTTTCTTATAAGGAGACTTATCCTTTAAGAGACAGTAAGTTAGTAATCCATATTTTACCACTATGCAACTTAAGATGCAATCTTTAAAACCTTAAACACACGTATTCACAAATGAATCAGAAAAGAACGGTGGTCTGACATACATTATGGATGGAAAAAATTTTGTAGTTCAGAAAAACCAAAAGAACTGGAAGTCGAGCCAATTCTGAAAAAGGGTCACTGG